CATCTCCGAACTCACACTGGAGAGAAACCATTTGAGTGCGCGGTGTGCAACAAGAGCTTTACCCATGAGAATACCCTGAAGGATCATCTCCGAACGCACACTGGAGATAAACCATTTGAGTGTGCAGTATGCAACAAGAGTTTTTCGCGAGATAATACTCTTAAGCGACATCTCCGAACTCACACTGGAGATAAACCATTTGAGTGCGCGGTGTGCAACAAGAGCTTTACCCATGGGAATACTCTGAAGGATCATCTCCGAATTCACACTGGAGATAAACCATTTGAGTGCGTAGTTTGCAACAAGAGTTTTTCACAAGTGAGTCATATGAAGGTTCACCTCCGAACTCACACTGGAGATAAACCATTTGAGTGCGTAGTTTGCAACAAGAGTTTTTCACAAGTGAGTCATATGAAGGTTCACCTCCGAACTCACACTGGAGATAAACCATTTGAGTGCGCAGTGTGCAACAAGAGCTTTTCGCAAGATAATAATCTTAAGAGTCATCTCCGAACTCACACTGGAGATAAACCATTTTAGTGCGCAGTTTGCAGCAAGAGTTTTTCACAAGATAATAATCTTAAGCGTCATCTCCGAACTCACATGAAGGATAAGCTATGAAAGTATGGGGTGTGCGTGCAACAAGGGTTTTTTTCTAGAGGATCATCAGAAAATTCATCTCCGACTGTAAAAAACTACATTAGTGCGCGGTATGCAAAAAGATTATTTCTGACCAAAGTCATCTATGACAACATCTCCGCTCTCACACAGGCTAAATCAAACTTATAAGATGCACTTGTGTTCCAGTAGAGACGTCAATAAACCGTTTTAAAAATGTTGTGAAACCTTGTAGTTAAGTCTGTTTTCACCCCAGAACGCTGTGCCCTTTTGTTTCCAAGGCAGACGAGCAGAGTAAACAAAATTTTTGCGATGGAAAGAAATGGCTTGTGCTTTTTATACGCCTTTGGTGCGATTTAACGAGCCAACGAAACAAGACAACGGATCGGGTGGAATGGGTTGGCGCCAGCGGAGGGGGATGGCCAGTCCGTGGCCGGCCTTCTTCCCGCGACAAAAATCAACCGAGCCGTAAATCTCTGAATTATGGGCAATTTCAAACGCCTTGCCGCTTCTGCGCCCGCGGAAACGCGTCGTTGGGGCGGGGGGAGGGGCCGGCGGGGTGCCGAGGAAAACTCGCGGTGACGACACATAAAATATAAAATAGTCGCGCGCCGCGTGACGGATTCCCTTGTAGATCCCGTGTGGTGCGCACGATGGAACGTGCCTCTCCTCCTGCTCTCCAGAGAGAGAGAGAGAGAGAGAGAGAGAGAGAGAGAGCGAGCGAGCGCTGGGCGGCCTCCATCTCTCGCGCCGCCCCATTCATTCCGAGCGCGCGGTCGTGCGTGGCGACGGCTGGAAGCAGCTAGACGGCCCCCGAAAACTAAAAGGTGTGCTTGAACAAACAAGCGGCCGGCGCTATGGGCCGGACGGTGATTGGTGGCGCTCTGTGACGGATATCGGCCGCAGACGCGAGCGCTGCTCCGGCAACTTCCGGGTTGTTCTCATGATGACGTCACCGCCGCGCCGGCGGGCGTAGCGATATTAGCTTAGTCAACTTTAACCTCTTTAACTTCCCCGCAACACCCAAGATACACTGTTGACTGTTAGCCGTGCAGGTTTGCGACGGCTGCCTTTTTAGGATTGAAAGTAGTTAAAAATTCGCGGTATTTCCGGTCCGCTTCCGGCGCAGAGCCCTGGCGCCGACGCGTCACCCGCCGCCCGACTAGCCCTCCCCCTCCAAATCACGTAACGCCGTGCTCTCTACTGCAGCTTACTCACTGCTGCGTGACCCCCCCTTCAGCGATTCCGCGAAGCCGCCGAGCAGCAGCGCCGCGGCGCGCGAGAGGTCAAGAGAGTGTGCGGTGAGTGTGATTCACCCGCGTCAAAGCGGACCTGAGCCGTAATCACCGACAATTATTATTTTAATCGCCTCTTTGAAAACGGCAAAGAAAAATAAAGCCTTCCGCGCGCGCCGGCGCGGTATTTATCAGATGATAAATAACGCCTAATAGGATAATGCACAAAACGCGCGCGCCGTTCGCTTTTCAATTTCCCCTCCCGCGAGCGGCGGCGTGCTTCACGCTCATTAGCCACGCTCGGCCGCCCCTGGGCCGTATGGACCGGGATGTGAATGAATACATGAATGAATGAATCGACGCGTCACCACGCTCGCATACGCTCCTCGCTGAGAGGTGCGAGCGAGCGGTTTCCGTAAAAACTGCTCCTGCTGCTGCTAGACGCACCCCGCACCTGAAGCTGTCACTGTGTGTGTGTGTGTGTGTGTGTGTGTGTGCGTGTGGCGCTCAGGCGGGGGATGTCAACAGGAGGTCATTATCACGCCATCGGCGGTCGATCTGCCGGGTGTTTAGACACGCGACAAGAAGTTTGCGCCGGGGGG